CCCCCCCCCCCCCCCCCCCCCCCCCTTTCGCAAGCGACAAGAAAAGTGGGAATGATTGATAAGGATAGTTACTCAGTCATTAGTTCCGGTTAGTGCAATTTGCCAAAATAACGAGCGGACCGACACCAGCCATCAATCTAAAGAAGCTTAGGGAAGGGCAAAGAATAAAAGACACGAAGAACGGCGGACAACAGCAAAATGGGGAAAAGGGGGGGGGGCGGGGGGAGAAACAATCATTGTACGTGTGAGTAGACTAGAATAGCGAAATCCTGGATATCCACTGGGCATCTCGGTTGAATCGTAGATTCCACTTGGGAGGTGGTGCTAGACGAGCCAATTAGCCGTGGAAAACAGCTGCAAGATGACCAGGCGGGAAAGTCTCGGCTTGTGCGGGCTGCAGCAGTTGACCAGCATTAGACCTGATCAGGGTTAGTACTGGCCCTGACGCCCGAGGTGAGAATTGCGCTAGTACGGCCAGTTATGGCCAGTACGATTGCTGTATTGCTGTATGGTGCAGCGTATGGCTGTATGCGAAAACACGAGCCATCCACCAATCGCCACCACCATCTGGTTTCCCCCCCCCATCTTCCCCCCCAGCTCATCCATGGTTTAGGATCCGAGCAACTTTACTGCTCGTCCCCTGCCAGTCGCTTCGATCTGCCCTACTCTTCCCCCCTCTCTCTAGACTATATTCCAGCGGACGCGTGCAGATGCAAATGACCGTATCCCCATTCAAGAACCGAGGGGCCCTATGTTATTGGCCCTAATTAAAGAGGGTTCTGCATGCTGCATCCCAAAGGAGGTGCTGCTGCTGATGGTGCTGCTGCTGATGGTGCTGCTGCTTCAGAAGGATGGTGCAATGATTATTTTCTCGGAGGAATGAGAGGCAGCGAATTGGAATCTCACTTGCATCAAATGGTCTGTTCACCCGTCCAAACAGGGTCGTGATTGTTAAAGGGAAGCACTTTGTTCTGTGAGCTTGGTGAGGGCAAGTGCCACTAACAGGTGACTGTGAGTTGCATGGAATGGATGGTGAGGGTTAGTCGTTCGGTCGGTCGGCCGGTCGGTCGCGGAAGAGCTCGGGGCAAGCACTGGAATGGGAGAGTCTCCCAGGCGGAGCAGGGACCGTTGTTGGCCTTGAACGGGGAATGAGGTTCTTTGTTCTGCTGGCTGTCCGTGCAGGCCCTGCTGGTGTCAATCCTTCCTTACCTGGGAGTCGAAATATCATACATGCAGACATCAAGGGGGGAGGGAAGAGGAAAGATAGAGGGTAGAATCCATAATGATTGTTGACGCAGTCTATAAGGTTATACGAAGGTAGGTAGGGATAGTAATACATAGTACGGAGTATGAACATATCACAACCATATTAATGATTCCACTGGATCGGAGTAGCCATCGAAGCTTCGATGGGGAGTGGATCGGGGAGGGTCTGTTCCGTCAAAAAGTCGTGTTTATTTTCCGGCGTGTCAACCCCCGACCGCTGACTAAGCAGGGAAGACTGACCAGACACAGTCAGTCAGTCACAGTCTGGGAACTCCTCATCATCATCATTGTTTTGATTGTTTGTTGCAAGGACCCCCTTCTGCCCCTTCAACTGAAACGATAATCCTTCAATCATCAATAGTCAATAATGATGCTGGAGTACTTACTCCGTAGCCAGAGTGACTCGCTCCGTCCCGCGTAAGACTCGGCAGCAGCAGCAGCAGCAGCATGACCACCACCACACCGGCCCAGCATCTGTCATGCATTCCACGACGCAAGGAGCAGCAGATCGCTTGCTTGCCCCTTTTTCGTCGCGCCGAGTCTCCCAAGCCAAGACCACTTTTTATCGTGATGATACGATCGGTGCATCTGATTTGCGCCCGCGGGGTTTAATCGCATTTCCGGTGACCACCAGACTGAGGGGAAGGGGGAGGGGGGAGGGGGGAACACCATTGCTCCCTACCTGGTTCAGTAACCATCCCCGGTGTTTAGGAATCCTGACTGCGACTAGGATAGTATCGAACAATCCCTCTGTTGTTCATGAGCGTGGTCGTCGGCGTCATGACAGTTGTAGTATCGTGGGGAAGGGGTGCAAAGTGACGTGCAAGTCTCCTGTCCCCCTTCCTCCCTGGGGGATTCTGACTTCTGATCGATCGTCGTGGCCGCCCCCCCTCTTCCCCGTCTGCTAAGCTTAAAGCCAAACTCCACCAAACAGGGAAATAGAACAGACCAGAGGGCTGATTCCTGCTGGGGTCGGGCTGGCCGATCGTCGAACTGCGCTCCACATGCCTATCTGACCAAGCTTAGTTGACAGGGAAGATACTCCAGTAGTGCCAATTCAATAAAAAGTAAGAATAGAACCAAAGGCGAGCGATAGAGAGAGGGACGACCATTCATGAGGGGAAAAAAGGACTGTACCTTCCGGATAGAGTGATTATCATTCCAGCCATCCGCGTGCATAGGGAGCGAGCAGCAATTGAGGACCGAGGAAGTTGGTTGACTGAGTGACTCTGCCTGGGCTCTGGCCTCCAGGCTGAGTAATTTACTTCCCGAGCCGGAGAAGGGGAGTGGTTACTTGAAGGGGCAATCACCTCAACATAGGTACGATCCTATGGTGTAGGGTCGTACGTGAGTACTACGGAGTACTAGGTAGGAAGTAGGGTTCTCCCATGAAGAGGGGACGGGGGATGTAGAACCGGGTTTGAGATTCCTCATCGCTGGTCCGGAATTATTATTCTTATCATTCTTATTGTTTTGATCATTTTTGTGGAAATTCTGTACTTATGATTCTTTACAAACTCGGTCAGGACCACGCTGCAGAAGGGAGGTCTAGCCGATTCGATGCCATTGAGTCGCTGGTTGCTGGTTGGGACAGAGTCCGTTTGAGGATGGAGATGATGCTGATGACAACGACTCTACAAGAGCAAGCGATAGAGTAGTTGTTCGGGTCTACCCCTCCATCCCTACGTAGTGTGATGTGGAACAGAATCATGTGGTGGTCGGTTGGACTTAGCACTTAATTCAAGCGGAGGAAGAACAGGACCGAAGAACAAAAGAACTAAGGAAGACAGGAAGCTGGATGGGAATGGGAAGAGCCGAGAAGGTGGAAACCCTTTTTGGGCGTCTGGTCTGGTACCAGAGCCCTGTCAACCACGTTGCCGTTGATCAGTTGTCCTGGTCGTTTAGTGTCTTTAGTGTCTTTAGTCTGTTTAGTGACTTTTAGTCTCCTTTTTTTTCTCGGTTACTTTGGTTAGTCTGGGAAGGGAAAAAAAGGGTGGGTGGGGAAACGAGCATTGCGATCCATGGGCGATGGGTAAGACTGTCTGCCTGTCTGCCTGTCTGCCTGCCTGGCTGTCTGGCTGTCTGTCTGTTGGATGTTGCTGTTAGTCTCTATCTGTATCTTGTTGTCTCATTCTCTATTGCCCTCATTCTCTCTGTTTCGCTTTCAGAATAGTCTCAGTCAGACAGAGGGAAATCATCACAAAGAATGAATAGTTGGATTGTCGAGACATTGACTCGCTCACCTGGTCCCGATCCAGTCCCAGCCGTGCAAGACAAAACCCGCTTACCTGTATCATACCGTACATACTGTACATACCGTACCGGACTGCAGGAGCAGTGATTCCCCAGATTAGGGGATGCAGCCCGACATTCACTCGCTTCTTTCTCTATGGAGCGTACGGAGCAGAGTACCCTAAACTAAATTATCCTTCGCTGATGTTGAACTACTGCTGCTGCTGCTGCTATTGCTGCTGCTGCAGTCCCATGGTTGATTGATCTACCTCTTTGGATTGTTTTTTTTTTGTTCCCTCCTCTTGCTTCTCTTCCTCCATTTATGTTTTGTGTTTACCTTTTCCTGGTCCAGGGGACTCCTGCTGCAGAAGTCGAATTCTCGCCCTGAAGAAACCGTCCATTGCAGAAGCAATCCAGCCTTTTCCTTCATTTCCAGCTTTTGCCTTTGACTTTTCCTAATTCTTCTCTTTGGGACTTCCTCGTCTAATATTCCTGACAATCTAGCTGATTTAGGGTGGGTAATTTCTCCCTGGTAATAATTCGTGACCGGAGAATACCCAGAAAAAATACCATCGCTTTCCTTTCTTGGCTATCTCTTTGCTCTCTTTTGCGCTCGCACTCACTCACTCTCTGTCTGTCTCTCTTGGTTTTGGCTGGTTTCTATTTTCCCTTTTACTGGTTATTTTTTTTCCCCTGTCATTTTTATTTTCTTTTTGAATTCGCTTTTTCGTTAATTCTTCTCTTTTGCTCCCCCTCCCCTCCCCTCCCTCCGTCTTCTCTTTTCCCTCTCTTTCTTCCCCCCCCCCCCGCGCTGGCCAGACCCGGCTTTGGACTGGTCTGGATACGTCTTCATTCCCGGGTTGTTTGGGCCTGCGAAGGTCTCTGCCCATCCCGACCAGCAATCAATCATTCATCGACTTTTTGCACCTTTGCTTTGGCTAGTCTACCCAGTCTACCTAGTCTACTAAAATCTTCACCCGTTCCCAGAATAAATAAAATCAAAAGAGGCCCCGGACCGGCCAGCCGCAGCACCGAATCATCATTTATCTCCACCTTATCTTCTTCTTCTACTACCACTACTACTTCTTTCTCCCTCTTCCACTGCACACTAACTGCGCACTATTACTCCTCCCACTACTACTACTAATCATCCCATCTCACCACCTCACCATCTCACCATCTCACCATCTCACCATCTCACAACTTTTACCATCTTCTCTGCTATCCTCCCACGCCATTCCCCCTCAAACATCATCATTACCCATTTTGTGTGGCTCTTACCATCATCAGCCTTTCCCTGCGCCTCGTTGACTCACCTTCACACTCGCACTTCGCCTTTCGTCATTCCACGGTACGTCAGTTGTTGACCTGAGGGTCGCATCTAGCCGCATATCGCCTGCCTCGTCTTGACCACGCCTCGGTCCGATCGACCACTTCATCTGATCTTCAATCATACAGACCATGTGCGTGAGTGTCTAATCGTCACCTTTCCAAGAAGAACTTGCTGGCGACTGGTTTGGTGCCTTTGTACGACCAAGAGACGGGTGGCTTGATTTGCCTTTGTTCCTCATTTGCTGCTTCTGGGATATGACTCCCAACTGAGCGCAAGTGGTTCACCAAGCATCGACTTGAGACCGTGACGACCGTGACAACGGATTGATCGTGTGCGATCATTCTCATCCCGACTCCCCCGCGAGATCGCTTGTGGCGATCCCATCGCCCCTCCTGGATCCTCCGGACATCTCTGGAGGCCTCTCTGGCAGTCGATATTGGACTCTCGGAACCGAAAGCGTTGCTTTTCCCCAAGGACCTTTACCCTCGACTCTGACCAACGCCCCGTTGAACGTGGTCGACCTGTTCCCGTCTACCGGCTACCCTCGTGATACCAGCGCCACCATGGCTGCCCTTGCTATTCCCGCCCCCGGCATGGGGCCCTCTCTCGAAGCGCTGTCGGCTCCCCCGCCGTTGAACACCCGTCGTCCGGGCGCTCCTCCCCTGCCCAGCATGGAGCTCCCCAGCCGACAGTTCCCCGGAGCTTTGAAATACACTCAACTCCCCAACCCCTCGGCCCTCAATCCGAGTGTCAGCAACCTCTTGACCCCACCGGCGACGAGTCAATCGGGCGAATCCACCCCAGTCACAACTGCGCACCAGACGACCGCGGGGAATATTCCATCCGTACCAGCCACCCCAGATCTGGGTCCGTTCTGGCCAACACAGAGCTCATATGGCAGTGCGTCGGGCGCAGCGGCTGCACGCCCGTCGTGGGCATCGAGCTTGAGCCCCTATGCGAGTCGCGACACCTTCTCGCCGCCTGGAAATAATCCGATTAGTCGCAATGCGGTCACATCGCCTACGGGAGCGGACTCGATACCGCACGGGTACGAGATGAACCAGCTGCCGCCTTTCCAACAACCGATCCCTGTCACTGCCGCGCAACAGCCCCCACACGCGCTCACGCATGCGGTGTTATCTGCACAGCACGGCCTCCCTCCCGTGCCTTCTCCGCAGCCGCTCCCATCGAACGATCCCTACATGGTCAAGTCCTCATCCGCGCCCGCCTATAGCACGGTCCAGCAGCTGGCCAGTCCGCCGGGGAGCTATTCCCCCTATGGCCCCACCGCAATGAGCATGCAACCCCCCGGCCGGGTCGCGTCGAACCCCCACCCTGCGCATCACCTGAACTACCAACGGCAGCCCTGGCCGTCATATACCCTCCCTGGGTCGAGTGGGCCGGTGTGGACGAACCTGCACGCCCCGAACACACAGATGTCATTGACGGCGCCAAATACGATGATGCCCCACACGTTCAACAGTGGGTTCGAGGCGCAGATGCAGCGGATGTATGGCGGACACCTGCCGCCTCCGGGCCACGGAGGACCAGGCCCCGCCAACGACCGACCGTTCAAGTGCGATCAATGTCCCCAGAGCTTCAACCGCAACCATGACCTGAAACGACATAAGCGGATTCATCTGTCGGTCAAGCCTTTCCCTTGCAACCACTGCGACAAGAGTTTCTCCCGCAAGGATGCTCTCAAGGTATGCCCCCCCCCCAACTTGAAATTGCCTTTCTTCTACGATGTATACTAACAAAAGCTTTACAGCGACATATGCTAGTCAAGGGGTGCGGGAAGGGCGATTCCGAGTCGAACACGACGCGGCCGACGGTTAAGGAGGAGGACCGCAGCGACGACTCCCACGGCCAACAGGCTTAACGGGGCCAGGGGAGCACCAACGGAGCACATGCATGTTTACGGCGTTGTGAGAATTGTTTATAGTGTTAAGGCCGCAGCGGTTTCTTGTCTTGTATCTAGTTTCATTGCGGGCCGGGGACTGGGACTGGGACGGGATTTGTCTGTTGAGTTGGCATCAGCGATGGGTTTGAAATTTGCTGTTTGTTGGTTGTGTGTATACGTATGTGGTATGTAAGTAGAGCGATTTTCTGTTGGGTAGTCCGGAGCGTTGGGCGACTTGCTGTTTGGATAGGATATGGAGATATGAGCTATCATTTTTGGTCTATGATTCCTTGCTTCGTTGGTGTGTGTGGAACACGGGCAACAGCATCGAGTGTGGTGGTGGTGGTGGTGGTGGTGGTGGTGCGACTCGACTCGGCCAAAGTAGATCCGTATAGGTTTCTCCGTGATTTGGCGGTGCTGTGTTCGTCCCATGAAGCTGCACTCGAATTCCGTTTATTATATAACAAGTCCGAACACACCTCCCTCTCCCAAACCAATATACAAGACCCATCCCAACCCTCCCATCACCATTATAATATCCTCGGACTTCAATCATCACAATGCCCCTCCCATACGTCCCAATATCCCCCCTCCTCCCCCTCGCCCTCCCCCTCCTCCTCCTCTGCCTCCTCACCCCAACCCTAACCCCCCCAGTCCAGAGCCAATACATCTCCCCGATCCCCGCCCTCCCCCTGCCCAGCAACACCCCCATCACCGCCACCTACCACGCCCCCACCCCTTACCTCTCCGAGCTCTCGGCCCCGAAACTCTCCGCCGTGAACGCCAGCGCCTTCGAATGGTGGTACTTCGACGCCGTCGCCGCCCACAACCCCAACCTCTCCGCCGTGGTAACCTTCTTCACCAGCAGCCCCGCCGCGTTTCCCATGGCGCCCCGGAATGGCAGTTCCGTGGTCTGGAGTTATGTCTATGTCAGTTTACCGGATTCTCCGTCGGGTCCCGGGGGGGATGAAGCTGGGGGTGGGAATGGGGGCAACGATCGCGGCGATAAGGGCGATCAGGGCGATAAAGGTGATCAGGAGGAGCCCGGGGACTTGATGGGAAGGGGGATGCCGTACCGCCCGATGATCGGGGATGGACGCGTGGTGAGTGAGATGGGCGTCGCGGGGGAGGAGAGTGAGGGCATCGTGTTGGGGGATGGCGGCGGGTGGAATGTGGGGTTCTGGGAGGGGTTGGGCGGGTGGGTTGCGAGTTCGGGGGGGTATCCTGGTTTCTCCGGGGAGGGGTTTAAGAGGGGGAAGGGGAGGGGGAAGGGGAAGAATAAGGGGAAAGGGGGCAAGAGGGTGGTTGCGCGTGGGCTTGGGGATGGCAGCGGGGGGTTGTTGGCGAGGGGGAGGGCGGCTGCTCCTGCCGCTGCTGCTGCTGCTGCTGCTGCTGCTGCTGCTGCTGCTGCTGGGGCTACGGCAGGCCCGAATCTGGATGTTTGGGTCGGGTGGGAGGGGAGTAGGGTTAGTGGGCGGTTGAGGTTGGAGAATGTTCGTGCCTGCTTTTTCTTCCGGTTCTTCTGTTCTTGCTTGGGTGTCTATTTCTTGGATGTCTTCCTGCTTGGAGGTGTATGCAAGCTCACGCTGACAGGCGACCGCCCCCCGAACGCCCTGCACAACATCCCACCGGTTCGATCCCTCACTGAGACTTGGGTCGATCGGGTGGGTGAGCATCGTGCCACATGCGAAGGCCACCGTGGATCTGATCGTGGATGGAGAGGAGGTCAAGTTCGAGGGATATGGGTACCATGATAAGGTATGCTCACTCTCTCGTCGCCGGTGATTATTGTACAGTACCCTACTAAGCCAGGCAGAACTGGTCGGAACGCCCCTTTCACTCGCTCGTCAAGAAATGGTTCTGGGGCCACGCGCACGTCGGCCCCTACTCGCTGGTCTGGTTCCAGGAGACGCCGCTCAACGCGCCGGTCCCCGTGGCCAGCGCGTCCGTCCTCAAAGATGGGGTGACCGTGCTGAGCGGCTGTGAGGCCGGGATTGTCAGCGTGCAGCGAGTCAGCCATGCTGCGGCGTCCGGGTTCGCGGTCGAGGTGGTGATGAGGGGGGTGAATGTGACGATGCTGGGGACGCGAGAGGTGGCGGGCGATGGGCAGCACTTCTTCCGGTGGACGGGGACGGTCGATGGGGAGGTGCTGGGCCAGAAAGTGAATGGGGGAGTGGCGGTCTTTGAGGAGTTTGATCTGTGAGTTTGAGGCGGATATGTCCACCCGGGAGAATGAGTTAGGGCTATGTTTGGTAGTTGGGCCTAGAAAGAAAAGTAGGCACTGCAGGACTGGGCATGCTCGGAAACCTTTGCTGCTGCTATTTCGTAAATGACATCTGCTTACATTTGTTCATTGATAATCATCCAAATCAGTCCACCATCCACTCTTCCACCAATCCACGATAATCCTCCATCCCATACGGTTCCAGCCACTTCAGCGATTTGCCCTTTCTCCGATAATCCAGTCCCAAGTCCCGCAATAACAAATCCATGTACGGCAACGCATCGAACACGAAATCCGGATTCCTGCGTCCAAACCCGCCCGGATACCGATGCACGCCAAACTGACTGTGCAGTGTCATCTCCCAGACCAGATCCGCATCTACATTGGAGGAGGACTGCAACTGCAGAGCTTTCCTGGCGTGGTCGGGACACCGCTCGTGACTCTTCACGGTCAGCTTCTCGCCCATCCACGCCGCCACCCACAGCGCCTGCGCCTGCGCCACCATCGCCGTATTGATCGTCATCGTCAGGCCCAAGCACGCGATCGAACGCTCCTTGCCCAGTTCGCCCACGGGGACCATGAACCGGGTCAGACGCAGGGGATGGCCCGCAGCGGCCGGCGCATCGTCCGCGAGGGGCTTATACCCCTTGACCATAGGGGGCGGATGCTGCAGGCGGGGGAATCGTCGTCGAATCTCCTGGTCAGCCAGCCGCACAATCTCCCGGGGCACGCAGTCCTCAGCCTCGGGCAACCCCAATTCTTGCTCCAGGGAGGCCGGTACAAACTGGATTTCAGGCTTGGCCTTCCACCCGGTCGCACATACCAACGCGCGGACCTTCTCAATCACCCGGCCGGACTCCAGCTGTACGGTCTGATCTGACAGGTTCCCCACCTCATCCACATGTACCCGCACGCGCCCACTGCGCACCAGCTCGAAGAAATCCGTCGGGTAGTTGAGGATGCTCAGCCCGCTGGCGATCCAGAAGGGACTGATCCAGGGGACCAGCTTGCGGGTCTCCGGGTGCGCGGCGTAGTTGTTCAGCGTGAGGACGTCGTTGCCCAGCACCCACCAGAAGGCGTCCACGACCTTCCGGCCGAGCCAGGTGCCGTGCAGCAGCCACCGCACGGTGGAGCAGCCGTCACCCGCGGCGCCCCAGATGCACGGGCTGAACCAGGTCAGCAGCCGCGTGGTCACCAGCTTCTCCAGCCATTTCTTCAGCGGCGTCACGTACGGCGGCGCCATCCAGATCGGGCCGTGGCCTGTCGACCGGATGATCCAGTCCACTTGGTACGGGGTGGTCGTCGCGGCGGCGTACACGGCATCCCAGGCGGATTTGGTGCCGCCAAAGATCACGATGCTTCCGTTTGTGTCTTCTGGTGGGGAGGTGGTTTGCGAGGGGGGAGCGAAGATCTGGTCTTGGTGGTGGCGTAAATCCCTGATGTGGAACAAGGGCCGGGCGAATTGTTCCTGGCCGGGGAAGTGGGGGAGGTAGGGCTGCGAGGTGATCCCCGTCGCGAGGATGAGTTTGCTGGTGTGTAGGGTGGAGGTTTCGGTGATCGCATCGGGGTTTTCAGAGTCCCAATGGTCGACGGTCAAGGTCCAGGTGGTGTCGGGTTCGTGTTGGATGGTGCGCACGCGCCGTCGGAGGTGAATGTACGGTGTCAGCTGGAAGTGCTCTGCGAAATCGGCGAGGTATTTCTGGATCACCGCTCCGGGGAGATGCTCGCCGGGCGCGACACCGTAGGAATCGTCCAGAGGGAAGTCGCTGAACTCGTAGGTGCCTCGCATGTTGTTTGACTTGAGGCCCTCGTATAGGCGGTGTTGGGCCCAGACGCCTCCAACGGTGTCGGCGGCCTCGAGGAGGAGGATGGAGGCATTGGGGTGGACTTGGTGGTAGGTTTTGAGGGCAGCCAGGCCGCTCCAGCCTGTTGAGTGCGAATCAGTATGAGTTCAAGCCTAAGATAAGAGCCAATGCATGATGCATGCAGCCTTACCTGCGCCGATGATGGTCACATCCACTGACTCCATTATGACAGCAGACACCGGCAATGGGAAGGAGCACCGGAAAAAAAAGCAACGAGTGGAAGGGGAGGAAGAAGTGGAAGAATAAAAATAGCCCGGGAAGGGGGAGAGGAGGGGAATTGACTGACAGATAAACGTGCCGATCGGTGGCAGTTTTTAATCTCCGTCATTCCCTTCCCTCCCCTCTCTCTCCTTACATTATTGCACGAACAAGGAAAGTGGATGATCGCAATAACGACGGAGGTTGCACCGGTGTTGTTGTGGCGGGGTCCATTCCCCCACTAACACCGCTTAGGGTTAACGAACAGTGAGTGTCTCCAGTTGGCTCCACCGTTGGAGGGAGATGACAGCTCGGCTCATCCGCTGAAGCAACGGTCTGACAGGCGGCACAATCCATGCCACAAGCCATGCTACAAGCCCTGCTACAAGCCATGCCATGGGCCCACTTCCTGGCCATTGGCCACTGGCCGCTGGTGTCACAGTGCCCCCTCTCGGGGGGAGTCGGGCTTCCCCCCTGTTCTAAGCCCAGGGGGGCCACCCGTTCATCGGACATGGGTCACCAAACGGTCAGTAGTCTAGTTACTCCATAGTTCGCTATACCTTGCCCATTGTCCACTTCCCTGTTCGGTCCTGCAGGAAGCGGTACTGTTGCTAGTCTAGTTACCTCCAAGCTACCCTACCTGCAAGAAGTACCAGGACGGGGAAAGTGGAGCCCATCATGGATGTCCTATGCGGGTTCTGCGTTTGTCTTGCCAAGCCATTGACAAGTCGGCATTTGTGTTTGCGTGGCCCAGGGGGAAAAAGTGATACATAGAAGCAAAGAGCAAACAACGAAAAAAAATGAATGCACAGATCATCATGCGAATTACTCTCTGTATCTCTTCCCCTGATAAAACCTGTCTTATACATAATGTCCCCTCTTCCCTCCCTCCGATCTGATCTGCCTTGCTCTGAAATGGTTTCACAGGCAATATTCTTTTTCCCTCCATCTTCTTCTCGTCTTCTGCTTCCTTTCCTTTCCCGGCTTCATGGCTGACGATTTCGTCATTGAGGCTTTTACTCTCCTGGCTATTGCTATTCTGACCATTGCCTGCCGCATCGCGGCACGATGGATTACGGCGGGGCCCAAGAGTTTCGCACTGGATGACTATTTGATGCCGGTTGCAGGGGTACGTCTGACTTGCCGACCAGCTATGCTGCTGACTCTTGACCCTCCACCACCCCCCACTTCTTTACTCTCCTTTCACGACAATCACACAAAGCTCTATCGGTCGGTATCCCAACAATAACCCATTTTCTTTCTGGTAGGTAGTGTATGCCCTCGAAACCGGCGCCGCCTACTGCGTCAGCGCCTGGTGGCATGGCCTCGCCAACAACTCCATGACCGCGGCCGAGCGCGCGGCGCTCTCGCCGCAGTCCGACGAGTACCGGCTCCGCGTCGGGGGATCCAAGACCCAGGTGCTGGGATGGTCGCTGTACACCACTTTGCTGTGGTTGCTCAAGACGTGCATGGCGGTGTTCTATTCGAGACTGACGTACGCCTCCCTCCCTTTTGTTCCTGTCATTTCTCTGCGTTATTTGCTCGATGAATCTGTGTCTGAGGTTCAGCTCAAATGACCCCACAATCTAGGGCTGGGCTGTACAACATGACCCGTCGCATCCGCCTCGCCTACATCTTCGTCGCCTGCACCTACATCGCAGTCATCCTGAGTATCCTGCTGGGGTGTCATCCGCTCCACAAGAACTGGCAGATCCACCCGGATCCCGGGAACTATTGTCAGCCGGCCGTCTCGCATATCGATGTGTACGTGACGGTGACGCTGAATGTGGCGACGGATGTGTATCTGATTTCGATTCCGTTTCCCGTACGCCTCGCCCCAGATTCCCAACCCGTGAGGTGTAGAACTTGATGCTGATCGCGATGGGAATAGATCCTCTTCAAAGCCCGTCTCCCGTGGCGCGAGAAGCTCGAGTTGGTGGTCTTGTTCAGCGGCGGGTTATTTGTCATGGCGGCGGGGATCCTGCGGTGTGTGTTGATCGTCACGGTGCGTAACCCCTTACTTGACTCTTCTGTCGAGTGATTGATCTTCCGCCCCTTTTGACGAATGACAACGAATACCTGCTAACAACAACAAACAGGCCGGCGCAAACGGCGCCTCGCAAGCCGGCAGCTGGGCCTGCCGCGAGACCTTCGTCGCCGTCATCATCGGCAACCTCCCCATGATATACCCCGTGTGTCGCCGGATGGTCAAACGGGCGGGCACATACTGGTCGTCCCATAGCCTCAACGCCAAGGACGGAAGTACCACGACTGGCCCTGGAGGGTCGGGGTATCCCCTTTCTGAGGGGGAGCATCAGAGTGCGCATTCGCAGTCTCGGAAGAAGAAGTTCCGGCATCCCTTGTCGTTGCCGGATACGCAGTGGACGCAGTTGGGGACGGTCAGTGATGAACATATCCTGCTCGCCGCGGTGGATGAGGAGGGGCGGCGGGTAGAAGGGGAGGGGGGCATTCATGTGGTTCAGGAGTTGATTATTACAAGGAATTGAACTGGTTATCTGGGGGGTGGGGGCTGGAGTTGTAGGTGCTATGACTACACCGTGTTATGTTGTTACGATATTGTAAATATCTTTGTTCATGAGTTTATAGATTGGTTTTGCTTTCTGTCTAAAGTTGTAGTCAATTCCTCTCTATACTAGGGATCTCTCCCAGCATTCAAATAGGATCCTGTATTTTCGCCAGCTGTCGTTGCAATTTGGTCCTTGGGCGCATTAGCTCTGCTTGATGGACCATCCTGACAAAAACAGAAAGATGATGCATCACCAACCAAGTTCTCTGTGTTCAAGCCTACCTGTGCCATGCGCTTCGCTACATTGTACGAGAGAATCAGAATGCTAGTCTCTAGGTCGTGGCAATGATGCAGTATGAGGAACAATGGCCCAGGATAGTGATATCGCGCACAATAAGAACTAAGCTAATTCCTTACTGCCCGTCACGCCCATTATGCTATCTTAGAATATAGTTGATCTATGCGATCATGTGACCAGACAAGCCCACCAAGACCCCGATGACGATAGCCTCAGATCGCCCATAGCGTAAGATTGACATCCCTCATCCCGCCGCTCAATTTGAGCCTTACCCCTTCTTCCCCCCCTCCCGTAGAAAACTAACCCTATCCTTCAGCGTCAACAGACCATTTCATCATCTCATCCATCAGAACGTAGACATCAACCTCCAATCTCCATCTCGAACGGCCGAAGTCGTAGAAAGAGGAAACCCGCCGCTTTCCGGCGGTAGACTGCAACAACCCCCACTGCCCAAACAATCCAACCCATCGAACCCAAGCAGGAATCAAAGCCGAGATAGTCAAACAGGAACCAATGCGGTCCAACGGGATATGAACACTCGAGCAAAGTGTTCGGGGGAATCTGGAAAAGACAACCCACTCCCTACCGGGAAGACTATCAACGAACTGAGAGGCTTCAGGGGAGGTTCTGGGACGTGTCTGATATGATTCTTGATGGTTGGTTGAACTAGCTACGTTCCGCACGTAAACAAGATGAAAAGGCCTTTGGAATCACGTGGCCGGATTACTTAGCGCTGACAAAGACGTTCGATGTCTGAATGCACTGGGTATTCTGCACGTTTTGAAGAAGCTAGGGGGTGCAGGATAAGTCGATGGATGAATATATACGATGATAGAGAGTGAGATGGAGTGAGCAGATTGATTGTTGATTATGTATGGCGTTTGAGCCTTGTCTCACAAGTTGCTTGCTGCGAGGAAGCTCAATACCCGCGCTATAGCGTAGGTCTTATCTTCTTCTGGGCAGAAAGCTTACTTAATCTTAAGTGTTGACCAGAAGAAAAAGCAGTAGTCAAAACCGGACGGTGCAGCAGTCGCGGCAGCAGTAGCAGCAGCAGCAGCGCCTTCCTTAATTAATGATAAGTTATAACTTATAGTGCCCCTACTCCCAAGACAAGCAGAATGGAATGATCGACTCTCACTGCGAACACATCCAGACAATCCCAACAATCCAGAACTAGCCTCCCATTACGCCTCCACGGCTTCTCACTCAATCACCTTTGAGTGTGTATCACGCCTCGGTCTCCTTGGTGATCTGCGTCGCCTCGCCGCCGGACACCAGCACCTCGTCGCGCTTCAGCGAGGCCTTGACCGGGTTCTTGGCCTGGAAGATCTCGGTCAACTCCTCGAGGGTGCGCTTACTGGTCTCGACGAACAGGAAGTAGATGACGATGACCTCGAGGGTATCCCAGAAGATGAAGAGGAAGTAGTACTTCCAGCCGGCGCGGGTGAAGGCGATGCCGGTGACGAAGGTGTTGTAGAAGGAGGCGATGTTGACGAAGAACTACCTCACTCATTAGAATCCTTTCACGGGAAGGACTGCCAGGAAGGGAACTTACGTTGTTCATGCCCATGCCCTTGGCGCGGGACTCGTACCGCAGGCACTCGACGGGGTACATGGCCTGGTTGGGCGTCCAGCCGGCGGAGATGACGAAGCCGAAGATGAAGATCATGGCGATCTGCGCGCGCGCGGTGATGCCGCTCTTGGCGGTCGGGACGCCGTCCGGCCCGTCGACGACGTTGGTCGCGTTCAACGCCGTGACGATGATGAACAGCACCACCACCAGACTGGTCGACACGAGCAGCTGCTGCCGCCGGCCGAAGCGGTCCGTCAGCAGCGCCCCGGACACGGCGCCGATCAGCGACACCACGTTCTGCAGACCCTGCAGCAGGAGCTGCGTGTTGTTGCTGGTGATCCCCGCGCCACGGAGCATCTGCGGGTAGTAGTAGCTGACGGGGCCGTTGCCGGACCATTGGCCGAAGAGAGCTGTGGGGTGTCAGTTACGATATGACTAGGGTGAGGGGGCTTCTGGGACACTGTGAGAAGGCTCACCCATGAAGATCACCAGCATGGACCGATACCGCGTCTCGCGGGTGTTGAACAGCTCGCGGTAATCCCACCACCGCTTGTCGGACCCCGTCTTGGAAATATCCTCCATCATCTCCCGGTACTCCAGCTGCACGATTGGAGCGTTGCGGTCGCCCTCGCCGTGGTACTCGGCCAGAACCTTGAGGGCATCTTCGTGGCGATCGTGGGACATGAGCCAACGGGGGGACTAGACACACGATTAGCATTTCTTCATGGCCCGGATCATCCCGAGAAAGACCTACCTCAGGGAGGAAGTAAACGAAGCACAACACCAGCCCGGAGAAAATCATCTGCAGCCAGATCGGAATCCGCCAGCTCATGTCGCTCTGGATGTGGCTGGTGCGCCAGGGGATGAAAGTTCCCGGAATACCGCCTCCGAACCACAGCACGTTGTACAGACCCGTCATGGCACCGCGGTAGGCTGGGTGGGCCATCTCCGACACGTACGCCGGTCCGGCAGTGGCCGAGGTCGCCACGCCAAATCCCAGGAGGAAACGGCCGCCCATAAATCCGCCCAGGTTGTGGCACGAGGCTTGAACGCAGGTTCCGATGATGATGAAGATGGCGCCGATCGCCATGCCGACTCGTCGTCCTATCGTACACGCGTCAGATCCTTGATTCCGTGGTCAGACCAAAGGATATGGAGAAGAAAGTACCCTTGAAATCAGTGAAGGGACCCGCCGTGAACGATCCCACAATGTTTCCGATGGTATAGATGGCATACACGATACCGGTCGAGGGGGTACCGGCATCCGGGTCGAATCCGAAGTAATCGCGGTACTGGGGATAACTGTTGATCGAGCCCATCAGGGAACCGTCGTAACCGTTGATGCAGGAGTTGAGCATAGCGACGGCGATACAGCAGTACAGCTACTGTCCGTGAGCATCCACCACGCACCCAGAAATTCCGGGACTGTATACGTACCTTGAGCATGCTCTTGCTCCACAGACTGGGCTTCTGCTGGATGGTGGCCACCGCCAACGCCGCATTGTGGACCCCCTTGACCTGGACCTCAGACGAGTCCAGGTGGGAGACCTCCGCCGTGTGTTTCTCAGACATGGTGAGAGAGCTTCCGGGACAATCTTTCGAAATTGATGTTCAAAGCTGACCTGCAAAAAAGAAAGAGAAACCGAAATCTGGAGCGGACATCCGGGAGCTCATATATACCATCGAAAGTATCGAAGCGAGGGCGAGCGGGCGAAGGGGGTGGTGGCATGGTAAGACTGGGTATTGCTGCATGTCTGACTATAGTCCCTCCTGTCACCAGATGCCGCGGAAAATTTGCTGCGGAGGACGCGCTGTGATAGGACGGGGACTGGCGAAGAATAGGCTGAGTGGCGGGCTAATTGCAGCAAGGATGAGACCCCGTATCCAAACGGGATTAGATGAATCTGGGGAAGCTGGGGATGCCCGAAGGCGAGTGTCTGGCAGTCTGGGCCGGACTGCCGCAGGGAAATACGATTGTGGTTTTGGTTTTTGCCATTTGCCATCCGCCATCTCACTAGATACTGGGGGGGGTGAGAGAAAGGGTTGGGGCACGATTGAGCCATATGGAGTGGTTTCCAGTTATTGGTGTGTTTGTTGGTGGTTTGCGTGCCAGACGGGCCACGGGCCGAACAGCCGGATGAGACCCCATGGGGATTAGAGGAATTAGACACACGAGATGAGCGAGATTAGACCCTGCCTCTGCCTCTTTCCTGGTAGGTTCTCGGCCCTCGACTCCGTTCGGGGACATGTGAACTGAATTTCAGGGTCCTAAGCGAGTGGTTGGGTCGAACTATAGCTGGCTGAGGTATATGCCCCCCTTTGTTCGCGTTGCTCACTTTCCCCGCGGTTTTTTGCTGCCCACATGGCGGGTTTGGGATCGAGCCCTAAATTAGACCCCGGGATGATCAGTGAATCGCCTCCAGACTCTTCCTGTTCGACTGACCTTTCGCACAGACACCTTTCCAGTCACTCGATCCACAATCGAACGACCAGACTGTTTAAGCGCCCAAGCTACTGCAGGAGGTTATTGGGAGTTCCCTTCCATCTCTGCCATCCCCATCTCATGGCATCGATCGAGCTGGCTGAAGCTCGCCGACTGCCGCCCTTCCACGTGTCTCCCCCAACCACCGACGAGGGGCAGCAGGCATGCCATGCCATGCCATGCTTTTCGCCATGCATCTCGCTTGACTTATCCGGACTCGTATCGTATTGCATTTTTGCTACATTCTATCATGGGTATCATAATATACTGTACAGACCAACAGGAAGGAAAATCGTACACCAACAGTAGTCAGTCACCTATCATGTTGCCTCCTGCCTCCTGCCTTCGCCTCTCCCAACAGGAATCACCCCTGCCCCCTTCTCTTTTGTCCCTAGGTTGTCACAGTCACCCCCGCTTCTCCCCTCTGCGACCAACAAACCGTCTACCCCATCAACTCCGCCTTCTCCGCGGGACTAATATACAGACTCAACGTATAATACCGCCCGGCAATCAGCTCCGACACCCCCTGCTGGTGCTGCAGCTGCACCGCTGCGCCGGCCAGCACCAGCCGCGACCCGCCCGCGAAGGGGGTCGCCACCCACAGCGGGGTGCCCGCGCGATCCGCGCCCGTCCAGCTCTCGGCCGTGCACGACATGCTGCTCCCGTACAGCAGCGGGTTGAACCCGTTGCAGACGGCCTCGGGGATGTGCAGGACATTCTCGAGGACGAGGGTGTGCGTGTTGTTGTCGGGTGCGAAGGGGTTGTGGTCGCTGCTGCTGGGGGCCAGCGACCGCGCAACGGGGATCTCAACGGTCCCGACGCCGGCCACCTCCAGCTCCTCCATCGGGTTGAAGATGTTTGTCTGCAGCCGCACCGTGGTCACGGGCCGGTAGCTCGTGAAGGCGGCGCGGTCGCGCGCGTAGTGGCAGTTGCCCTGGACGATCATCCAGTCGTAGCAGATCCGGTGGGCGGTCGGGTCCGTGCGCGCGCGCTTGAGCGTGCTGTCTTCGAAGTCGGTGTCCGAGAGGGTGCGGATGGACATTTTGGGGGAGGATTCTGGCAGGGGTATGATTGGATGTGTTGGGTAGAGGCGAGGTGAGGGATTTGGGTGGTAGTGGGGGAAGCTGTCGCTGTCGCTGTCGCTGTCGCTGTAGTGATTGGTTGTTAGTGAGGGTGGTCTTTGTTGGTGCTGGTGCTGGTGCTGGTGCTGGTGCTGGTGCTGGGCCGAGCTTACACTGGCTGAGTGTCGCACGGTCGCGAAGTCGCAAGGTATAAGTTAATACGAGTGATGGGTGGTGATGAGGTCTAGTGTATAGATGCTGGATGGATGCAATTGAGTTGTTACAGAAAACAACAATGGGTGTTGATGGATAAGAGAATGGATGGGCACAGGCTGAGATGAAGGAAAGTAAAAGAGAGTGTGTGGTTCAGATCTGAGTTGCGAATAATTCCAAGGCTGGAGAAGAAAGACGGACGAGGAACCAGCGGGCGGAGCTCTCTGGCGCCGAATGCGGTCCGCCGGCAGTATGTCTCTGGGCGGTCGGGAGGTGGTCACCGCCAGCCACTAGTTCCCCAACAGGTTAGTCGTCCGGGCAACTTGGAAGGTGAGAGTCGATTACTCATGACTTTCGGTCACGTGACTATGGTTCGCGCGCTGCCTGGCCTGATACTTCGGTCTGGGGTGATTTTGAGATACTCTATGTGTACATCTATAGACTAATAGACAATGGTGCATGTGGCGATATATCTAGGAAGCCAGACTTTAGACCGAATCCGGAGTGGAGGTTGAGTCTGGAGTACAGTAATCAGGGAATGCTTCGTCGTGCGAGTTCCGCATGTAACATACATATCGGACACCTCATGAAGGAGAGAGCTTGGCATGCTCTATCTACTTGCCTTAGAAAAAGCTTTCTTTCTTTATCTAGAGATACGAGACAGAGAAGTTGAGACAGACAGAAAGTGGGAGAACATCAATGACTTCATCCCACTAACCCGACTCCTCCCCGCGGAACATATATTCCGCTGTGTCCAGCCACTACGGAAACTCTATAAAACCCCATCGCCATCGCGTGTAACCTCACCCATTCCCTTGTTCAGTTGAAGCTTATTGACATAACATACCTCTACCTACTTACATACAAGCACATATCCATACATACATACCTACACACCCTTAATCAACATCATGTCCCACCTCACCTACTACAACTATGACGGCGTCGGCAAGCGCAACCAACAGACCTTCAAATACAGCCAGGCCGTCCGCATCGGCGACCGCATCGAATGTTCCGGCCAGGGTAGGTGCTCCCCTCTCCTTTTCCCACTTATCCCAGTCAGCCAGGTCAATGCTAAATTCTGGGGTAAAAAGGCGGCTGGGACCCCCAGACCGGCGAGATCTACCGGGAGATCAACGCACAGATCGACCAGGCCTTCAAGAACGTGGATCTGAACCTGAAGACCGCCGGCGGCAAGGGCTGGAGCCAGGTGTTCCGGGTCAACTCGTACCACGTGCCCATCAACAACGAGGCGCTGGACGCCATGGTCCGAAATTTTAAGCAGTGGATGCCTGACCACGAGCCGCTATGGACTTGCGTCGGAGTCACGCGGCTAGGCGAGGATGACATGCGCGTCGAGATTGAGGTGGTCGCGCATGATCCGAAATAGATTCCGCAGGTGATTGGGTATGGGGATGGGGACGAGGGGATAGGGCGAAGTGTATCAGTAAATGCGTTTAGACGCCCTGTGACTTGATTCAGCGTGATGGCAGATGAAAAAGCGAAAGCATGAGGTTCTTGGTGGTTGCATCTGCATAATGAACGCATATGAGGATTGATGAGAACTGTCATCTCAGCATCAAAAGATTGGTGCAATAGATTAATGAAGATAAACAGCCTTCAGTCATGTAATAAAGAACCTGCAAGTACTTCTTCGCTCAGGTATCAGAACCTGAATTAGATTATTCGTTGTTTACTCGCAAGCATCGGTTAATCGATTCCGTGATTGGAACAATGAGCATTGTAAGCTCTTTGTTGTGAAGAGCTCCATATAGCCCGTCATGCTGCGTATAAATCAGTCAGAAATATTGCAGCAGTAACCTCAACCATCCATCTTCACCCGAACAATAGACTTCACCTCTCCGACTCAGCTTCAACATGCCGTACTTCCGCTTCCGTGCCTACAGTGAGCTGAAGAAGGATCTCGCCCGTCTTAGTATGGCGAGCGAGCCTGATACAGACCCTCAGACATGGGACGCTGAGCCGCGCGTGCCAACTTCCGCAGCATTCAATGCTGCAACGCAGACATCTGACGACGGAACCATGTCCAGCAGTGATGACGGGGGCGTTCTTCTCACGCCGCAGCAGACCGACAGCGAGAATGAGTCGACCGACAGCGATGACCACCCCAAAGTCCTAACGCCCCAGGGCACCGGCAACGACGCTCCCAACGAGGGAACCATCATGTTCTTCCCCTGGCGCACGCAGCTCGGATGTCCGACCCTCGAGCAGATCAAGAAGCACCGCAGCTTCGAAGAGGTCTTCTCCAGCAGCGACTTCCGCAACTGGGACTGCCTGCAGCCCGCCGAGCAGACCCGCCGCCGCGTCCTGGCGCGCAAGATCAATAATCCAGCCAACAAGCCCGCGGATGCGGCGTGCGACATCTGTGCGCGTGTCGATCCGCACGTGGACCTGTGCTGCGAGAGCTGCACCACCTACTTCCACCTGGAGTGCGCCTGGAACCGGCACGGTGCGATTGAATGGGGCACTGAGTATAAATCCAGGATTCCTATGCATTGCCCGGTGTGTCGCAAGCCGTGGAGGTTTGGTGCTGATCTGTTCGACCAGGGGCTGCTGAAGAATGACGAGGATGAGGTGGTGAAGCGGGCCGAGAGTTTCCAGTACTTGAAGATGGAGGGTCATGTTTGGAAGTGAGGCTTGAGGCCAGTCACCTCCAGGCTTGGTCCTCTGGCTGTTCATCTGAGGTGACACCCTTTTTAACTCGTTTGTCATGAAATGAAATCGTAACATTTGATGTATCTGATGTGAATATCGTTTCCCGCTATTTGCTTTTGAGTAAGCATATAATAGCCCTTGAGATGGTAACCGTTGATGTATGAGCTTGGCGTACCAGTACCCTGACGCGGGAGGAGCCAGCTTTCAAGTATGCTCGACCAGGAGTAACCATCCGATGTCTTGAAAACCATGGCCAAAGAAGACGCAGTATACAAAAAAAGAAGGTCGCCGCTGCAGAGCCATAAACATGCTTGTTGGCGCCTCCGTTCTCATCACTGAAGCGCAGCAGCACGGTGGCCAGCAGGTAATATACGCCTTGGGCCAAGGCACAGACCATAAGAATACGTCGTCGGCCCCATAGTTCGATTGTCGGGATTGTCACGACCGGCCATTGCCTGCAGTATTTCCCTATTATCCCGCTGTGATGCGGAGATCTCATGCAGGCTTGTTGTGTACATGCCCAAAAAGAATGACAGCAATCATTCCACACCCCAAGTCACGTCGTAGACAGCCATTTGTATGTTGCTTTCGCTCTGATGCTATGGCGGTTTAGGGCGCATGGTGTTTTCTGTCCAAGGCTGGTTTGCATGCTCGGTTCCGGCGGATGTTGGCTCGCCCAGCCAGAAGTTCGGTTCCGGACCCACTATGCTCAACATTGAGCTCCTGCCCCACGAGAGCGGTAACACCGGCCCGGATGACTCGCGTCGGGATGAATCTTGTGAAAGAGAGGTTGCTTGTGGTTGGAAAACAGTATTTGAATAGGAAGAAAGGGTTTTCTACTTGGGATTGGAATCGCTCCTTGTTTATCACCAGTGGGCAGCGCAGTGTGACAGTGAAGCAAGACACAAGCTAAGCGGGTAGGTCCTAGAACCCGAAGAATTCGGAGTCGATACCACCACGACGAGAAGAAGGGAGAGACATAAAGGCGGGGACGAAGGCGACCGGGGAAGATCCTCGTTTTGATGTCTCGCTAGCTCTAGTCGATGGTCGATCGATGCGGGGAATCAGCAATCAGCAATGCAGTTATTGTTAGGAAGGCCGGAACCGAAGCTGCACTGCTCCGCCGGAATCAAATCAGTGCGCCTCTGATTTATAAACACGACCTGCCGGCAGGTATAAGAAGGGGCAGAGAGAAGCCAGGACATATTAGCAGATCTTTATATACCTGACATTAGAAGTCGTGCAAGGATTGGAAATATGATTGCTGCAGATTCGACCCAGGTAGGCGATTTCATGAATGTCATTGGGTCTTTCTCTAAAGCTTCCGGTCACTGATTCTTCAATTCAAGGACGCCAATTTGGCTGCCGTGCTCAAGCCAGGCGGCTCATTTTACTATGAAACCCGCAAGGTACCAGAGATTCAGACCGAAAGGGATGTCATCGTGAAAATTGTCGCAACCGGGCTCTGCGGCTCCGATGTGAGTACTGACTTCCATCCCCCTGACGCTGGTAAATCAGATCAGAGTTCATACGTCACCGTTCCAACAGGTACATTACTGGCAACACGGACGAATCGGTCGCTATGTGGTAGAGAAGCCAATCATCCTGGGCCATGAGTCAACAGGAATCGTGGTCTCTTGCGGCAGCAAAGCTGAAGGGCTCGCCGTGGGAGACCGGGTTGCCCTAGAGCCTGGGGTCGCCTGCAATACGTGCGAGCCGTGCCGCAGGGGCCGTTATAACCTCTGCCGCGATATGCGTTTTGCAGCGACGCCGCCAATTGACGGGACACTTTGCACATACTACCGCGTCCCGGTCGAGTGTTGTTTCAAGCTTCCAGCCCATATTTCACTGCGTCAGGGCGCATTAGTTGAACCGTTGAGTGTCGCAGTGCATGCTTGTCGGCTCGCAGGAGATATGCAAACCAAGTCCGTCATCGTCTTTGGCGCGGGCCCAGTTGGACTCCTCTGCTGTGCTGTTGCCCGGGCCTTTGGTGCATCTACCGTGGTGGCGGTTGATATTGTTTCCAGTCGGCTTACGGTCGCTGGCAAGTACGGAGCCACACATACATACCAAATGAGTGACGCATCGCCTGAAGTGAATGCGGCCGACCTTCTCAGATCAGCAGGACTCGAAGACGGTGCAGATGTGATCTTGGACGCAACGGGGGCGGAGCCCTGCCTGGTCTGTGGTCTGCACGCGGTCACGCCAGGAGGCACCTTCATTCAAGTGGGCTTGGGTCGACCCAGTGTCACCGTTCCTATTGGTCAAGTCTGCGATAAAGAGGTTACTCTGAAGGGCAGCTTCCGCTACGGCCCTGGAGACTTCCGAACCGCCATAGGACTGCTTGACGCCCGACGTGTCAGTGTCGACGGCCTTGTTACTCACGAATACTCCTTCTCGCAGGTCGAGGAAGCATTCCAAAATGTGGCGAACAGGATAGGAATCAAGAGCGTCATATATGGGCCGGAGGTGGACGCAGAAACAGCGAATGCTGTCATAGCGTAGAAGCTGGGTTTCGGTGCGGTAACTTCTTTTCATGGCGACCATAAAACTTTGGAATATAGAGATACACCGTATAACGAGTTTATTAAATCCACTTGCATCACAGTCCATTCCAAGTGGTATCCCAGAGCCAGTACAACCCGTTTTCTACATTGTTGTAATGACCGTCTTCCCCAGGAGGCGTGAAACTATTGGGCTGTTGCCAGTCGCCTGACGCAGGGAGCGCCCAGTCATTCGTCGGGGGAATGCTATGATGAGCAGGCAATTGACCCCGCTGATTTTCTCCTAGTACAGGGACGTGGAGCGTGTAATCCTGGCCAGGAACCATGACTGAAATTTTATTCATGAGCATCAGCATGAGCATATCAACAAACGAGGAGATGAGAATGGCTTACCGTATTGAACGGAAGTCAAGCTTTCGTTGACGCGGCCAGCGCGATTGAAGTTAGAGCTGCCCTGGCTGCCCACCAAGGGATCCACCATGTCCAAAGTCGCATTTAATGGCAATCGCAGCGTCTCTTCAACAGACATGGGAGGCGGATCAGGCAGAGCTCGGTCGCCATTGGTATCGTACTCGATGAAGGCGGTGGTTTCCGCAAGAGGGGCAAGCATAGCAGCCGATTCGCGGCGGAGAAGCATTGTGACCACCTTCTTCAAAACCTGAGTACTCTGTCTGGAGAGCGCCGAACGCTTTCCCAATAGTTCTTGTAGACGGAGAATGCGGGTCATCGTCCGCTTGACTTCTTGAGCTGTATCGGAAAGCGGCTCGGATATGGCCATTACTGCCAAGACAACCGCAGCATTGAATAAATTGATGGCGAGGAAGGCGACCAAATGACTTTCGGTCGCAAGTTGCGCAAGCACAGGTAGTTCAGTTATCCTGGACGTTCGAATAGCGGCTTTCATCCAAAATTCCGAGCTGGCTGTGCTGGCTTGGATGGGAGTTCTTCTGGACGTGTCTGGAGCAGCTGCCGTCGCAAAAACAGTCGAATGGATATCGTCCACCCCCGGTGACATATTGCTCGTCCAGAGATGGTCCACCTGCCTTGAAATCAAAGGACGGTAGAGCACGATCAAAATGTTGTCATATGTTAGATGAAGCGACAAGGCTTGCAAGGCGTACGCTTTGGAGCTCTGTTCTCCGGTTGCACGGAAGTCTTGCTGGAGATCGAGGACCAAGTGGCTCGGGAGACATTGTCGCCATGAATGAAGCTTTTCCGAAGTCTCCTGAACCAAACTTACAAAACTGTCTCTGACTAAATCTTGAGACGTCCTTGACGTACGAGAGCCGAAGATGATCTCAAGCGCCGGAGAGGCAATTAGATATAATCGGTTCAATTCCCGCTGGTATGGTGAATAGCATACAGAAGCAGAGTCATCAGAGACCGGATGAGTGAAGGAAGGGTTTTCGTAGATGTCGGCAGGCATGCTCAAATTGCAATCCTTGTCGTTGATGCCCAATGGTGTGCCGTACGTAATGGATGCAAAGCGATCCCATGTGTAGATAGTCCACCACACTCGCTTTCGCTCTTCGATGTCATCGATGTCCCCTCGTCGAGGCTCCCGATGCATGCCAATCGCATGTGCCATTTTGATAGTCGCCCCAAGCAGAGTGAACGACAAATTAGGTCGTCCGTGGTAGACATGATACGAACCGAAGAGAATACAAGTCTGTATTGCGAGGACAGAAGGCTGGTCCATCACATCTATCAGATTGTTCTCAACAAGCCGCATAAGAATCTCACTCCAGTCCGCCCAAGTAGCGTTCGCGGTAGCTGTCTCCTGGCGGCTGCGTTGTGACCGGTACCATGCTGCCATACCGAGCACGACTGCCAGTAGTAGAAGGAACGGCCTCTGGGTGGGGTCGGCGCAGCCATCGGCAATGGTTTGAAGCTTGCGACGAAACTTGGGCTCAAAGATCACCAGTGAAAACCAATGAACCGTGTCAAAGTAATCATCCAATAGGCTGTAGACGATCTCGGTCGCAGGGAATGGTTGACCTACTATGGCGGAAATAGGACGACGATTTGCGCCAGTGCCAGGCGCAGGCAAGACGCCTTTACTTGTTGAGTAGCCAGGGATGGCCGAAGTGGTTTGCTCGTCCAGATGCTGGCTGCCTAGCTCGCATATCTTGCGAGCGATACCCATGGCAGACTCAGCTTCACCAGGTTCGATGGAGGACGAGATTGGGTTATGTTGGCGGCGATTGTCCGCCGACCTTGTTCGGGGCGACGTAACGGAGTCATTCTCTCCAGTGGTCGGGCCCCGCAACTGTTCCCTAGATTGAGGACTGTATATTTGCCTTTGGCGACGCGATAATTTTCCTCGAGCCCCGGGGAGTCTGCGTCTAGAGCTGCAGGTCATGCGGTCAGCTCGGGACTACTAGACAGCCGCGCTTCCTCTGGCAGCCATAGAGGATTATTTCAGAAAGCTTACGATGGGGCATTTCCCGCACAGCGTTGAGTTGCAGGGCGTTGCCGACATTCGACATTCGCTCGCACACACAACGAGCATGGACGATATGGATCACACTGTCGTGATTCGGGTCAGTTCGTTGATCTATGAACTATGCCGGACCGGCAAGTCGGCGTGCTTACCCGGGATTTGTGGAGACGGCATCGTTCACAGGCGCTACTGACGCGTGTGGGTAGCACTGAAGGTGCCAATCGTGTTCTCCTTGGTTTATTGAACTGTGAAGCTGAACTTGGCGAGACAGAGGAGTCTGCCACAGACGACGATGCTTCTGTTCTTCCATGAGCAAGCGGGATAGGCAGAGTTCCAGTTACAGGTTCCGGCGGAAGATTGCAGGGAGGAGGCAGAAGATTCGGGCGGAAGGAAGCATTGCTGAGGCGGTGGCCAAGGCGGTGATGCCCTCCCCCCCTCCCCCCCCGGGGTCATTCCCCCCGCTTTCTACTGTAGCAAACTTCATCTCAACATCTGGAAAGTTGACACTTGCATCTATTAATCCGCATCCTCTAAATGAGTATAACATCACACGGCTGGATTTAAACAGACTTTAACTTCTATCTATATCAAGAACCCTGTCCGACGCCAGTACTGCACGTATCCTCGCACTGTCCTTTGATCAACAGGCCCCAGGCTCTGCAGTGTGGACGCGTCTCGCCGGGCACGCGTTGTCGCCAACAGCAAACCCCCGCAAGACATGCGCTCAAAGTTGCCAGCCAACCAGTCCGCCATTACACCTGCAGGGTTGTCTTGTCGTGAACCAGTATAGGCCCCCACCCGTTCAATCCATTCTGAGAACGGGA